TTAAAACTGTTTTAAATCGGACTAAAAGTATGCAATAGTATTTTTTAATCCTTTAAATTCATTTCTTGAGACAATAAACTAACGTAAACTCAATCTAAATGTTACTAAATATTTATAAAAAGGAATATCAACATAAAATATTTAATTTTGTTTCTTTTTTTCCTTTTAAAAATATATAACACTGTTTTTATATCTCTTTACCCATTTCTCACAGGACTCCTAACAAATTACTACCAGCTAAAATAATCTTCTGCCTCTTGTTTAGTTGATTAGCTTACAAGGAGTAAGATTTTTCAAGAGCCCAACAAATATGAGCCCTGAAAATGGCCTGAAAATCCTTAAATTTTAGCAGCTGTTGAATTTGTATTTATACGTGTGTGTGTTTATTTTTTATTTTGTGGCTAAGAGTCAACAGTGAGGAAAAGCAGCTGAGCTGAAAAGCAGCTTAGCGAACTGTTTGTCACTCAGAAATGTTTGCAAAGTGACAACAGAGTTGTTTATTGGGGAGAGGAGGAAGCATTTCAGAATTGCCAATTTAAAAATAATCATGGTTAGAAGTGGTAGAGAATGTGCCAAATGTTGGACGATAAAGTGGCACATGTCTCATGGAGGAACAAGCTTATTTGAAATTTATTTGAATGCATCCTCCTCGCTCCCTTCCTCCTCTGCTATGCAGTTTGCCAAATTGATTTCATGCTCAAAACTCACTGTGCAAATTTGCATTTCAATGTTGTCGCAATTAAATATTAAAATCAATTAAAGCCCCCGAGCAGCAGCTCTCTTAGTTTTGGCCAGGTAACCGAGACTCGTCTGTCTGTGTTTACCCAAAAACAACAATTTTTACGGGGGCCCTAGAGGCGTTTCTTGTGAGTGTGTAATGAGAAAGTGCAGCCCCCGGCCAGGGTTTAATTATAAATGCGAACAGCAAAACAGCAAAAAACATTGAGATGTTGACACACATATAGTACACACGGATAAGAGATTAAAACCGACTCAGGCTTGAGATAATTGAGATGGAGATTAATTTTAATGGGGAATACGTTTCCGATTTATTGAGCATGAAATTGTGAGGGTTCCAGGAATCATGTGCAAATAAGGATAGAGATATTCAAAGCAATTGGATTGGATTTTAATTGGTTTTACTTTAAATCAAATATAGAAAGAATCCTTTTAGCTTTAAGGTCAAATTTATGATTTCTATAAAAGCCAAAGATTTATTTCAATTAATTTCAAGGAAATTCTATTTTTATATCAAGAATTTCCTCGACCTTTCGAATGATAAATGGTTCTGCAAATCAACAACAAAATACAAGCTTATTTCAAAGGGTTTTTGCCAACGTTTTCCAGGCCAAGTTCCTAGCTGAATTCCTTCCAATTAAAACGGGAATTCCCCTGGCTCCAATCGCAGTCATAAATCAAGGACCTCCGTTGCCTCTTCAGTAGGATATCCTTGCTCCAAACCACATATTTCATATTAACAAGGAATGCTGCACCCCAATAGTTTGTGTTGTAAAAGTCAAAACGTGGCCAGGAAGAACAACAAAAGGAATACTCCGAATTGCGATGACGTGGCTAGCAAGCAAGGAAAAACTCCCGGATAAAATATATATAGATATAATATATATGTATGCAAAAAGCAAGAATAGTGAGCGTCGAATTTGTAGCCCAAACAATTCCCAAAGCGGAAGGGCAAATAACAACAACGAGAGAAGTATGCGCAAAAAGGACTCGCTCGCGACCATTTGGCCTGAAGCTCTTGGGGCCGGTCCATGTCCTCGTCCTTCAGCCTCTCCATCCCCCACACTCCTCTTCCTCGCAATTTAAAAGCGGATAATAAAAACGGATTTACAGTTATGAGCACAAACATGCCGTAAAGCAAATAAATGCGAGAAGAAATCCAAGCGAAGGTGGTAAATTCTCGTATTTACAGAACCTTGGGCCACGGACCTTCCCCCCGCCCTTTGGTCATGGGGCTTCCCCTTAGCCGCCTTCACCCTGGACAAACACGACCAATCCAATTAAAGCGAAAGCAATTTCACGAAAAACCATTCCAGCCTTGAGGTCTCCGCTTCTCAAAAGCGAAAGATACATTTGATAGCGTCTAAGTAGAGCGCTCGGTTTAATTAGATACTCGAGAACTCATTCTCGAAAGGCTCTCGGGAACCGATTAACAAAGGCCAAAGGCACTGAAAGGCGTTTTGTCTCGCATTGTCTAGTGCTTGAAGGGCTCGTGGACAGTTGCATTGTCAGCGCAGTGCTGCGACGTGCCACAAAGGGTTCCGCCGTGAAGAAGGAGGCGTAGGTCCTCCCAGAATGACACACTTAATGCACTCGATTCCGAGGATGGGGGCATTTTCTACCATTCAATTGGATGGCCGATGAGAGACCTGGAGTGGTGTCCTCGCTCGCTAGGGGTAGTTCTAGGTATGGCATAGTTTGTGAGGAATGTACATATGTTTTTTACTTTTTGGAAATATTAAAAATATAAAAAAGCATTTAGAATTGGTTTGTGGTGGTGGTTTTTCCCAAGATGAGACGGTTTTTAAAATGTATTCCTCTAAAATATTACCTCGAAAAACTACTACAAATATTTATCACATTATTTAATAATTCCTAGGATATAAACCTAGTCCTTACATTATCCCTTTCCCACTTTCCCTTTCTGCTTGTAAATTTTTATTCGAGTTTTTCCGCCTTATCGAAAAATGGGGGCGTTCGGGACATTATCGTCGCTTGCATCTACGTCATTGCACATTAAAATTGCAAAAACTACGGCACAGTCGAGTGGCTCTTTGGCGTGTAGGTCCTTCAGGGCGGCGGCGGCGCACCAAAGCCAGTGACAGGACTCGTGCCATTACCAATACACACACACACACACTCATACAAAGCACGTAAGACTTTCAATCAGGGTGCATTGGAACGGAAATTCTGCGCTGCAGCGCAGAAAAGGAAGGAAATACATGCTCGACTGGCTGTCTGACGGAGGGAGGACTCCAACCCGTATCCATATCCCTGTATCGAGCATGTGACGGACTGTCCCAACTAACTGTATCAAATGGCACAACCCCCGAAGCTTATGCGGCGTCATCTGATCTTAGTTTCCTCTGGCCAAAAGTGGGAGAAATTGGGAGGGTTGGGGTGGTGACTTCTTGGCCATAACAAGGTTGCTGTCAGTCGGTTACTGTGGCAGCAACTCAAAGACTGAGAATGAGGCAACTTTGCCACTGACTTTGCATACTTTGAACTTTGCCAATACATTATATATATACTATATAGTATAGTGGCTGCTGTTTGTGTTGACTGGCGGCTCCAGTCAATGTTGTTAAAGAAAAAAAGTCAAAAGTCTTGACAGAGTGTCTTGCAAGAAATATAGAGAGTGCATGCCAAGATGGAGAACCTTCTAAGGATAATCTGGCCAAGGAAAGAGATTTATAAAAGAGCTGGGGAGAATATATATTTTGCTATAATGGTTGAAAGTGGACCAAAGTAGTTGGCTAATAATGGTGGTAGCTGCTTACTTAGGGGTTATGTGTAAAATGTTTAGGAATTTTCAAGGAAATGAAAATATATAAGCTTGACTTGGCAGGCTTTGGAAAATTCAGGAAAATTATAAACAGCCTGGCTAGAATTTCCCAAGAAATCTAAGAAGCTGCAAGGGCTTAGCACAACCTTCAGCCACCTTATCAAGTTAACAAAAATATCTTATAAAAAATTGACTTTGCCTAAATTTAGCCCAAAAATAATTGATGGAAATGACTGGTAAATAAATAAAACAAGCGGATAAAGGTTAGCAACTCCACCTGTCACTCACACCTACTTAATATACCCAAAAGCCGAGATACCGATACAGATACATTTCAAACTCTGAGATACCTTTTTCCCCTACAGCGCTTTCAATTTCCTGCCCCTGGAACCGAAGTGAATTAATGGAGCAACGCCGGGGAAAAGTCCCGGAATACAAATTCCATTTAATGACCGAAAATCCCTAACTGAAATAAATTTGATTTTATTGACTGCGAATCAGAAGGCAAGCCTTACCTCTGCCTCAGCCACGAATTTGAATTTTAGCCAGACAATGGAGCTGTGCCTGATTTAGGAAATTACATTTTCAGGCCTCATTGTTCGGGCGAAACAAATGAATTATGATGTGGCCGAGCAAGCAGAGTGATTTCCTTTACCCAACACCCAACTCCCACTCCCCCCTGAGAAAATCGAAACCCAAACACGTGCGTGCGCCTTGTCAACGGGGCGTATAAATCTTTTTCGGTAAGGGATCCCAGCCAGACCCATTGCCATTAAATATTTAGGCAATTTGTAGATCTATAACGATTTGCCCCTAATGTGGGCTATATTTATGAGCACGGCCTGAATAATTCACCTTGTTCGGATCGGACACACGGACACGGACACGCCGAGTGGGTCTCTTCGACATTGGGTAATTTATTAGCCACGTCTTTCCATATTTAATTGAACACGGTGTCGCAGCGTTAGACAAATGGCCAGCACACTGAGCCGGCCAACACCAGCTGGCGATGCGTGCCGTGAAAAGTGCGCCACTAAATTGCAGGCCATCGGGGGTTGCCGAGGCTTCCTGTCGTGGGTTTATTAATAGAAGAACCATTTGGGCAGCGTGGCTAAGTGATGGATTTTCGGTTCAGAATTAAAATAGACTCTGAACTTTGCCAAGGTTTTGTATATATACAGTTTATTTTTTGATATAGAATATCTAGAATATCTTTTATTTACCGCTGGCCTAGTTTAAAAGTTAAAGACCCTCAAAAGATACAAGGACTCAAAATGCCTTAACTTCTGGCTGTCTTCGGCCAGAGCTTCATTATAAAATATAAATGGATACATATTTCCAACTGAAAAGTGGAATAGTTACCAAAACAACGCCCTCAGGACTCCAGTTTAAAATATCAACAAAAACTCTTGCGTCAACGGTGGCGTATGCGTGATATGTGTCTGGCCAAAAAATTTGCCACACACAAACACAAAAATTAGCCCCGGGAAGTTATATTTTCAAAAATACAGAACAATAAACAGCTTTTAAAACAACATCAGTTGAGGAAGATCTGACTCAGTCGGTCGCCGAAATTGAGGTTCGATATACGTACGATGTTCCTTTCCACCTCGAGGCCAAATAGTTTTACATAGGCGCGAAGGCAGACCGAGGACATGTTGGCCATGATGAGGATCTTGAAGAGCAGGGCAAAGGTAAACTGGGCGAATCTGTTCCAGCTGGCGTCTCTCGGTTGCCCCATCAATTGGGACACTGTCACAAAGGTGGTGAATAGCCAGCGGACCAGAAAGGCAAAAACGTATGGGGTGCATAAGACTATTTTTTCCAAGCGCTTCTCGTTTCTAACCCGCACACCCCCCACAGGCTGGGAGGACACGTATATGCTCACCAGCACTGAGACTATCATGGCCCAGGTCAACATTTCTGCGCCCGAGACATTGGCCAGCTCGTCCCAGTAGATCAGTTCGTCCGGCAGACGTTTATTCCAGATCAGCCCTTCCTCCCACCTCTCATTAATGACGATCATTATGGAGGCTCCGTGCATCATTATCCACAAATAAAGGACGCTCCAGGCGCACCTTAAGATCGTCATTATGGGCTTAGAGAATATTTGGTTTATATATTGCCCAGGCATTTTATTTTTATAGAATTTAATCGAACAGGACACTTAATTTGAGCCACAAACGAACTGAAACAAGAGTTGATACCGACTCAGATGTTGACAGTTTTGTCATGGATTATTAAGTTCCAAAAAATTCAATTTGACTTGTTAATACCAAAAACTATGACCAACTTCCACCTAAATGTTAAGAACTTTTTACTCCACCAACTTTCTGATTTAATTTCCCCAACAATCCTTGTTTTCCAATAGTTCAGTTACCCCTAAAATCTCCCAAACTCAACCCCTAACTATTTCCCTCAACACAAATCGGTTGGTTAACTCTAATTAAACACTCTATCATCAGAGAGGGCCGCAACTATGCTCAAACTCTCGAGTGTAAGTCAAATTTATGCGTTGCAAAGCCCCAAGGGTTTGGCTTTTGAGCCCAACTAACCATTAAAGATGCAAAGTCAACATAGCCCAGAGTAGAGCAGGGCTCGACGAGACCAAGACCGAAAAGTTTGCGTTTTCCGAGGGGAGGGAACACGCGGCGTATGAGCAACGCAGGGCAAGTCGGCGAGGCGACAATTTAACGCGCTGATTGACGAGCAAACACGAAGGGCTGAAAGCGGTCGAGTTGGCCAGGAAAATAAGTGTTTGCCAATGGCATTAATTATGTGGCCAGAGGGAGGCAGGTGGCCATAACATGTCACGAGAGTTGGACTAGTTTTGCATTATAATTTGACGAGTTGTGGCCTGGCCAGGCAATTGATTTGAAAATAACAGAGTGTGTGTGTGTATATACTATATAGTTTGTAAACCACAGACATGAGAATGACAAAGGTGTGCCGCAAAATGCCAGAGTATATCTGAAATTGAATTACCACCCAGCTGAATGCGCAAAACACAAAAGTCAAAGTCAGTGTCAACAGACGAGGAAACACGTTTCCAATTTGTTGGGGGAGCCAGTATATCTGCATGAAGGGCTCCTTGACATCTGTATAAACAGGGTACCAAGGGGGGTGTACACACACACACACGCACACTCAACATTCAGTATGAAATATTCTACTGCCAGGACATTCATGTGTCGCCCATTTTCCTCTCTCTCTTTCTGTGTGTATTGTTGTTATGCGCCTGAATGATTTCTTTTGTGAAATTGATAACTCTCTGCGTGTGTGTGTGAGGATGTCCTGCATGCGAGATTGTTTAAAATGCCTCGGAGAACCCACAGCCAACCCATCAGGCCCCAAGCCTCGAGGATTATAACAAATTAAAGTTGCCAAACACAAAACTGGGGCTGGAAACTGGAGACTGGAGACTGGGGGTTTATATACATTCTCTTTCTTTTTTTTTTTTTGTGTATTGTCATTGCAAAAATATTGAGCAGTCATGTGGCAAGATAAAACATTGTTTTAAAAGTACACACTTCAGCATATATTCTCAGACAATAATGATGAGGATAACATGTCTTTCGGGCAACTCGAGCTTGAAGGAAACTCATTAATTTCGATAATAAAAATTAACTGGGAAGATGATGAGGGAGTTCCGCTTTGGGCGGAACATAAAATTGCCAAGATATTAATGGTTTTAGCTGGGAAAATGATAAACAAAGGGAGTTTGTATATAAAATTATATATAAAAGATAATACCAAGTGCAGTCTTGGCAGTTTTTGTATTAAACTATAGTTTTGTGTTGTATTTAGTATAAAATATAAGCTGTTTAAGGAGTAAATATAGTCTTCACTTTCCTATATCTTCTTTATTTATTTCCTATAATTTTCCTTATTTAACCTTAAAAGATATTACCAATAATATCCTTAAATCTTTTTTATGTCTTCTTAAACCCCATAAATCATAAGAACCACAAATAATGGTTATTTCTTTTTAAAAAAAAACCCACTTTAATAACCTTTTCTTGTCTGAAAAATATACCTATATTTTTTTCAAGATATTTTCCCGCTCGTGTGCCTTGCCATCCATCACATTTGTTTAATTTTATTTCCAAATAAGATTTACAAAAAAAGAAAAACTCTGTCGTGTTTGCATTTGCATAACGCCTCCCGTTTCATTTCGTTTTCGTTTATTTATTTTTTCAAATTATGCGCTAAGCTGGACTTGCCAATGATTGATTGGGTAAAAAGAGGCGGCACGGCATTAGCCATATATATCCTTGACAAGGCTCTGAAGCTCACGTAAAGCAAGTCATAAAAATATTTCACCGAATAATAAAAAGTAAAACAGAGAACGAAGAATAACAAAGCGTTGTAGGTCATGTGTCATCCGCAGAGTCCCAAGTTCCGCCTCTCGTGTTGCATGTGGCATGTTTGTTTGCACTCCGCCGGAAAAGCCATATAGTACGGCACATAGCCCAGGGTGTGACAAACTTTAGCCCGGGACAATTTCTGTGCCGCGGCTGAAATTGAATATTTAATTCTTGCTTTTGTCGCGCTTTGAAACAAATTCTTTTTCGGGGCACAAAGTAGAAGGCATTAATGAAATTCCTTAGCCGCCAAAACTTTGGACAGCTGATGCACGGAGGAGAGGGAAAGAGCAGATGAGCCCCCAGGATATGATGGCTTCGGTGGGGGGCAAGTATTTCGGATAACTTTGGCTTAGTTTGACACAAAAAAAAATGTATATATATTTAAATATAAATATATATCTATGTACAGCAAGGAATTTGGAAGCTTTGGAATTTGTATTCTGTGTCAAATAATATGATATTAAAATGTTGCTGGAATTTATCTAAGCGGCTTGTTAGCTTTGTGAGACATTTTTGGGAAATATTTCTATTAAGGATTTTTTTAGAGATGAATTTAAAGGATAATATAAAAATCGAATTAAAACTATAATAATATTATTCTTAGCTTTAGTATTTACTTTTCTTATTTCTGTAATATTTTTTCAATTCTAGTTTATTATTCTTACAAAATAGAATATATAAAGTATACCCTTGCTGTTTGCCATAGGATCTGTCATTCAATCAAAAATCGATCATAACTAAGCCAAAAAAGCATCAAATTCAATTCGAAAAGCTTTACTGTGTTAGTTCTTTCCAGATAACCAAATCTGCATACTAAATTTCACATTTTAATATATTACAATTTTTGCTAATTTATTCTGTGACAATTAAACCATTAAGACCTCAAAAATACAAAAAAAAATTTGGAAAAATGTTTTCCCTCTAAACATGTTTAGATCGACTCCGCTTTTTGTGCTGATCAAGAATATATATGACTTATAGGGTCGGAAATACCTCCTTCACTATCTAACACACTTTTGACTAAAATGATCTTGCCCTGAAAGGGTATAAAAATATATAAATACAGTTTAAAGTTTTCTTGAAGTTACAATATAATTTCATAAAAAAATTTGTTAAGTCATAATTTTATTCCTTAATTTTAGTGTTTCATTAGAAGACAAATTAGTTCTCATTACCATACCCTATATTTTTAATAAAATTTTCCCCCTTTGACTCTTATTTAAGCAAACATTTCGGGTTAATGATCCCCTATATATGTATTTAAAAAAACAACAAAAAATTGTGCTTTCCCTGTTAATCCCCCACCATTTGCTTCCGCTTATCCTGATCCCTTCTGGCGTCTACTTTAATGCCACTTAATTAAATTGGACGCTCCGCTAAAAGAGCTCTGAGCTCAGCTGGCAAAAAAAAAAAAAAAAAAATGGGACTACAAAAAAAAGAAAAATTCACCCAACAACATCATCACTAAATCATTAAGAACTCACCGACAAAAAAACCAGCGAAAAATATATGACAAAGCGAATCAGGTCACAGGAAAAAAAAAGAAATAAAATCGGAAGAAATATTTCATTTCAGGACATTCGAGGAAACCCATAATTACCATCGTATGCCGATGTACGTAATAATAAAATCAAATATGCCAAGTTTGGGCGTCAATTTTAAGCTGATTAGATGCAAATAGCTGTGATAAAGATAAAAATACCAAATCAATATCAAACTAAGTCGTTCTCCGCCGCTGATGACACTTCAAAACCAACTACACGGAGGAGGAAAAAAATTGCAGAGCCCAGCACAGGCAGATTTTATGTTATTATACCCTTGCAGGGTATTATAATTTCAGTCAGAAGTTTGCAACGCAGTGAAGGAGACGTTTCCGACCCTATAAAGTATATATATTCTTGATCAGCATCAACAGCCGAGTCGATCTAGCCATGTCCGTCTGTCCGTCTGTCCGTCTGTCCGTCTGTCCGTCTGTCCGTCTGTCTGTCTGTCTGTTTCTACGCAAACTAGTCCCTCAGTTTAAAAGCTATCTGAATGAAACTTTGCATATAGTCTTCTATATGCTCTCACTGCTATATATGTCGGAACGGGCCGGATCGGACGACTATATCATATAGCTGCCATACAAATGTTCGATAAATTTTTAGAAAAAAAATTATAACTTAGCTGTTTTTCAACATATGTGCACTATTTTTTACATATGACCCTTTTTTTATTATTTTTGAATTTTGGTAAAAATTTTATGAAAATCGGACGACTATATCATATAGCTGCCATAGGAACGATCAGGAAATTAATAGAAAAAAAATTATAACTTCGTTGTTTTTCAAACTATTTTTATCTACTCTGAGATATAAGCTTATTTTATTAGTTCAGAATTTTTGTATAAATTTTATGAAAATCGGACAACTATATCATATAGCTGCCATATAAACCGATCGGTAGGTATAGGGAAAATGTAAAACTGGGAATGTAAAACTGTAACTGTCAAACTCTCAACATAGTAAGTATAGGTAAAATGCAATGAAATAATATCTGCAAGGGTATACAAACTTCGGCGTGCCGAAGTTAGCTTCCTTTCTTGTTTTTATGTTAAAAATAGGGGTCTTAGGGGGCACTCTCGGTGTGAGAGGAAGGAAGCACACACAAAAGTTTTATTTATTCATGGGCACGGACGGACCGAGTGGTGTGCGTCACCAGGAAGCAATCAGAACTGAGATGTTACTTAACTAAGGGAACCGAAGGATATTATTTTACTAGCGCAAGGTGTCCTGTGAGATGTAAAATCAACAGCAGAAGAAGGTTCTTCACTAGGAAAATTATTTAAAAAATAATAACTACAAACTTTAATGA